CTCCCTTGAAAGACTTTGCTGGATGTGAATGAGAAGAATTCACAGTCAATTAATAAAAGGGGTTTTTGTCGGGACTAGGAGTCTGCTTGATGCTCTCGGGAAGCCTCAGTCAGGACAGTTTTTTCCCTCAGTTCTGTGTTTGAAGAATCAAATTTTCCGTTCAATATTATGAGTGGTGAAAAAGGTATGAGGTGTTGGAGAGGTTACAGGCATGAGATTAATTAAAAGCAGCAATGGGTAAAAACAAGAAATAGAAGACTTAAAATGAAGCCTTGAAGTTTGCGTGCCACCTTCTAAATTACTAAAAAAAAATGCACACCAAAATAGCACAAAGCATAATCAATCCCCAGCATGTATACATAATACAAGGTTGGTCTACATCTACTGTATGACATCAGTAAGCAAATATTTACATTTGAGATGGCAGGCCAGATATCTCAACTGAACTCCACTGATAAATGTGACTGTGGGAGAAGGAACCGCAAAGCGCACTATGAAGCACTATTAAAACACGTCAAGAATAAGGGGGAAACGATCCCGCGTACCTTTCACTGGTGCAAGAGAAGGCTTGAGGTTGTCTAAATGGTGGGAAAAAATCTTGTCATTTGTGATGCCAGGGGGAACAGAAATCCCACTCATTTCTCCGTTAATCCTGCTCCTTACTCGTTTTGGTGGATGAGGTTTCTTAAATAACTGCAGTAGGAAAGAGAACGCCGGCAAGCTTAATAGCAGGATTAGGTAGATTTTCAGCAAAACTGCCTAATTCGCAGAAACTTACACTGTCAGTGTTGGTGAGAGTCAGTGGTGAAATCTAATTTTTTTTTTACTACAGGTTCTGTGGGTGTGGCTTGATAGGGGGGGCATTTGACTGGGTGGGCGTGGCTATGTAGCCATGTAACTGGGGGATCAAAAGCCAGAAACTCACTTTAACAATGTGCTGCTGGAGCAGGGTTGGACTGGATGACCTCCAGGTCCCTTCCAGCCCTGGATTATCCTCTGAAGCTGCATCTAGTGCCAGGTTTGTCGGCCTTCCTTCCTCTTCTTTTTTCACTCCCTCCCTTTCTTTCTTTCTTTCTCCCTTATTTCTTTTTCCTTCCTTCCTTCCTTCCTTCCTTCCTTCCTTCCTTCCTTCCTTCCTTCCTTCTTTCCTTTCTCAGCACCCCTCCCCCATTTTTGGCGTAGCAGAATTCAGGGAAGCCTGCTGGGAGCAAAAATGGACACACACACACCCCTCGCATTTCCGGAGAACCTGTAGTTAAAAAAATGCTTAAAACATTTTTTTAAAAAGTTCCAAAGATAAGCCGTGCAATTGTTTGGAACATTTTTTTAAAAACTTTTTTTTAGTATTTTTTTACTATCGATTCTGAGAAACAGTCGCATTTTGTACTACCTATTCAGGCGAACTGGCCCAAACTGCTAGCATTTCACCCCCGGTGAGGGTAAACGTAAGAGCTTCTTAGGTTGAGCTGTTTACTAAGCTTGTTTGGCAGTTCCTTTATTAGGGTATTTACTTGATGGTTGGTGCCAGGGATGGCGAATGTACGGCACGCGTGCTGCAGATGGCACGTGGAGCCATTTCTGAGGGCACGTGAGGCGTCGCCCTGTCAGCTCCAGCACGCATGTGCACCCTGGCCAGCTGATTTTTGGCGTTGATTTTCAGCCATTTTTCACTCTACGGAAGCCTCCAGAGGGCGAATACCTGCCCTACGCACAAACTGGAAGTTCAGCAACAGACTTCCGGTTTGTGCGTTGGGCTGTTTTTTGCCCTCCAGAGGCTCTTAGAAAGACTCTGAAGCCTGGGAAGGGCACAAAAACGGACCTACCGGAAGTTGGAAAATGGGCCGTTTCCGGCCTCTGGAGGGCCTCCAGGCGGGGCGCGAGGGGCGTTTTTGGCCTCCCCAGGCTCCAAGAAAGCCATGTGTGCATGCGCACGGAGCAGGGCACAGGGGGATTAAATTATGGGATGGACACGCAAGCCACACAATAACACATGCACGCGTGCTTTTGGCACCCACGGCGAAAAAGGTTCGCCATCACTCTATACGCCTTATTATCACTCTAGAGGTCCCCTTACTAGCACTGAAGATGTTACCTACTTTGGATAATGAAACGTTTGCAAGAAAACAACCAAAGACCCCTCATGTCAATCCTGAGCTACAAATATTCTCCTTTATTGGGGCTCCTAAAGCTACAGAGCCTTGAGTTGCTATAGTTACCAAAATCCCAACATGTCTAAAAGGCAGCAGGTTGGGAAAAGCACAAGTCTTACAGAACTCCCAAAGGGTGAGTAAAAAAACAAAAAACCAACGCTTTCAAAAAAACGCTACCTGTTTAGGTATCTGCCCAAAATTATTAATGAATCCAATTGTAGCGGTTTCTTTCAGTGGGTCGTTGATGTTGTAGATGTCCACTTGCCCCTCATAAAAGAGATGATGGAAAACATTGACAGCTTCCACTGCGGCTGGCCCTTGCTGCTTATAGCCAAAGATTAAGTCAATCCATTCATGTAGGTGTGCGCTCACAAAATCACACTCCAAGGCCTGCAATTTAGAATATAGAGGTTGAACAGAGACAATTGGTTCTATTTACCATGGAGGAGTAAGAGTAATAGCTAAAGGAACAGGGTGACTTACCTGCACCCAAAGATTATTTTTCCAGAAAAAAAGAGTACCGTATTTTTCGGATTATGAGACGCACCGGAGTATAAGACGCACCAAAATTTTGAAGCAGTAAATTTTTTTAAAAAAAAGGTTTTGCCCTCCCTGGTCCCAGGAGCACTCTGCAGTCTCCCAAACTCTTTGCACGTCCCGTTTTTTGCATGCAGAGTTTGAGACTCTTGCAAAGTGCTCCTGGAGGCCGGGCAGGGCAAAAATATGATGGGGTAGGAGGCAAAAAATGGACTCATTTTGCCCCAAAACAGGGGGATGTGGGAGGCCTGTAGAGTGCTCCTGGGGAGGGAAGAAAATAAGCAAAAAATGGCCAATTTTTTTGCTAAAAGTGACCTTTTTTTGCAAAAAAAAAAAGAGGCACGCAGAAGATGTGGTAGGCCCGTAGAGTGCTCCTATGGGCTGGGGAGGGCAAAAAAACGGCCCATTTTTTGTGGAAAAAACAGTCCAATTTTTGTGAAAAATGGCTCCATTTTTCACTTGTCTTTGCCCTCCCCAGTCCCTAGGAGCACCTTGTAGCCTTCCCAGATCCTCTGCGTGTCCATTTTTGTGAAAAACGGGATATACGTGGCGGGGTTCCAGGAGGCCAAAAATGCTGTATTCAGTATATAAGACACGCCCAGATTTTCACCCTCTTTTTTTGGGGGAAAAGGTGCGTCTTATACTCTGAAAAATACGCTAATTCATTCCATATTTTTGGACCAAAGTCATAGAGCTAGCTTTCGTGCTCAAGGCAGGACTAAAACTCATAGTCTTTTGGTAATTGGTCCAAAGTCACACATTCAGCTTTCATGCCTAAAGTGAGACTACAACTCACAGTCTCCTGGTGATTGACCCAAAGTCACCCAACTAACTTTTGTGCCTAAGATATGATTAGAACTCACAATTCCTTAGTTTCTAAGTCACCACTTAACTACTACAGCAAATTGCATCTTTTAATTTATTACAGCGCAACTCAAACATTGGATGAAAGTCAGTGTGTCTGCCTATTCTTTTCTTAAAATTTATCTCTCTCTCTCTCTTGTTTTTAAAATAGAAAGTTATATTACCTCCCGATGTACTCTAATGAATTCACGGGGATCCCCTTTTGCCCATGGAGGAAGGATTACATCTCCAAGTTTGGTGCCATTCTGTTTGCAACCTATAAAAGAAAAATATACTTAAATCTTGAATACTGCATAATTCATTGTACTTGCTTGTCTCCTTGGAAGATTTGAATATTATTCTATCTGTAAGAGACGAGCATAAAACGTTAATTTTATTGTTTGAAACCAGTACTGGTAGGGAGGCCTTGATGTGTTTTATTTTCTAATAAGAATGCCAAGATCCTAGCGCTTAATACAAAGAAAATACACAACGAAAGAATAGGGCGCTTTCAGGTCAAAGATTAAAGATTGTTCTTATTCCTTTCTAGTTTCTTCCAAGCTATTTTTTACTAAAACAAAATAAATTAAGTCAGTGGTTCCTATGGTTAAACTATTATCATGACATTATTAGATGATTGTGAGCCATGGGAGTGCAGTGGTTGGAATGCAGGACTGCAGGCTACTTCGGCTGACTGTCGGCTGCCTGCAATTTGGCAGTTCGATTCTGATCTGTTCAAGGTTGACTCAGCCTTCCATCCTTCCGAAGTCATAGATGAGGACTCAGATTGTCAGGGGCAATAGACTGACTCTGTAAACCGCTTAGAGAGCGCTGTAAAGCACTATAAAGCGGTATATAAGTGTAAGTGCGATTGCTGTTTGTTGCAAACGTGATAAATCTACCACAAAGAGTCCTGGTCCAGTTTTTGCACACCTCTGTCTAAAACCAGGGGTTCCCAACTTTTGGGCCGGTGCTCGCTTGTGAGCTGCAGCCCGTTTGGAAACGGGACGCACAAGTGTTGGGCAAGTGCATACATGCAGCTGTATTTGCAGGAAATGTCGGTTGTGCAAAGGGAGCTTCGCATGTAAGCTTGTACTTACTGCTTGCACAGAACTATTTTTCTGTTATTCTAACCAATCTCAAAAAAGTGTCATTCTGGTTTTCCCGTGGAATTTAGTGTTTGGTCTTGTTCTTCCTAGTGGAGCGGTCAACATCCTTGTTCACCAACCACATTATAAATCATTTTTATGTTCCTTTGACCACAATCTCTAAAGAATCTACATGCAGCCCTCAAACTTATGGCCATTGGTTTATTCGCTATTTGAAGTTACAATGGCACTGAAAAAAGTGACTTATGACTGCTCCTCATACTTACGTCTGTTGCTGTATCTCTGCAATCAAATTGGCATGAATTTTCAAAAGTTACAGTGTCCCGGGGTCATGTGATCACCGTTTTTTTGACCTTCCACAAAGCAAAGTCAGTGACGGAAGCTGGGTTCAATGAATGACCATGTGATTCACTCAACAACCGCAACGATTCACTTAACAGCTGTGGCAAAAAGCGTTGTAAAATTGGACCGCGCTCACCTAACAACCTTCTTGCTTATCAGGGGAAATCCTGATCCTAATTGGGGTCATAAGTTGAGGACTACCTGTAACTAGAAAATAGTTTCTCTCACCTAGATCGAAGTTGTTAGAGTTAAGCAACAGCTCTGGGAGGTAGAAGAATTCTGGGATCAGCTCCTTGACATCGGCCATATTGTGCTTGGATGCAGAGTACCAGGCTTCCCGCACGCTGTGAAACATTCGGTCGGCCAAGTCAAAGTGGCCACCCTATGGAAGGAAAAGGGTAGCTTATTGTAACCGTGAAATAAATTTTAAAATAACACCCATCTTTCTTCTCCTCCCATATAAGTTGGGGATCAGAGCAGCAAAATAAATCACACTAGCATTGCCCAGGTATTTATTTATAGGGGGAAAATGTCCGGACCAAACGTACTTTCTAATGTTGGATTTTCCCCCTTACCAGAGGGAGCCCCCTTGTGGAGTACTGTGAAGCCCCATAGCAACTCTACTGAGCTGTACAGTAGAAGCCATTTTAAAGCACAACAGGCTGTATCTTAACAGANGATGCCTGCTGAGGGTTTGGGAGGCCTGCAGAATGCAAAAACTTTTCTTTTTAATTTACTTTTAATCTTCAAAATCATGGTGCTTCTTATACTCCGGTGCGTCTTATAGTCTGAAAAATATGGTATCTACTAAATTCTAAATCGGAGTGTTAGATCCTCCCCCCCCCCTCGCTCTTACCCAAGTGATTCTGCCAACATTTCAAACTGGCTTCTTCAATGAGAGATTTTGCAACTGCAATGTCCACGTGGCCTCGGTCATTGACGGGAAGGGATACTTTGAACGCCTCCTCCAACACCTGTTTCTTGGTGTAGATCAACTCTGTCCAAACACGATTCACAGCTTTAAGGAGAAGTTGGCGACCTATATATGTGTGAATAGAACAGCATTGTGATCAACGATGAGAAGAACCGTGGCACTGAAAAACTGTTGAGAGTTAAATTTAATACGACATTTATCTAAGCCTTATTTTAGCATTAATGATTAAGTGCCAACATGATCCATGAAAATATGTGTAGTAGCATAACTTTTATTTGAAAAGCGATCAGTTCTAACACCAGAGCTTTGCCATGTCAACTCAAAGCGAGATACTAATGTAAAGAAAAGATGATAACATGCAATTTCTGTAAGCTTCTGATTTAACTCAATGGTTCCCAACAGAAAAGACTGCCCATTTTTTCCCAACTCTGACTTTGGAGCCATATAAAGCTTAATACAGGTAGTTCTCGATTTACGGTCATAATTGGGAATCAGAATTTCCATTGTTAAGCAAAGCGGTTGTTAAGTGAGTGGTGCCCAATTTCACAACCTTTTTTTTGGCCATGATTGTTCTGACTTAGGCTCCCCAAGAGCATGAAGCAGACTCCTTGTCCCCACAAAAAACCCTTTTCTTAATTGACTGCAGGGGTGGGTTTCGACCGGTTCGCACCGGTCCCTGCGATCCGGTTGGTCGCCGAACCCGGAAGTAAGTAACTTCCGGGAACGGCGAAGCCNGGAGTGTGTGTTGATATGGGACGAGGGGGGTCAGAACAGAAAACTATCTAATAAAAGTTAATTATTTTAACACAATACAGTGCAATAACATTTTATTAATTGATCATATCGACATATTTAATTATTACTATTAAACACAGATAAAGTCATGGAAAAACTTGGGGTGGCGAATAGGTAGAAAGATATGACAATCACTTTTTTAAAATGTAGGTTTTGGGGTGTTGTTTTTTTTTTGAAAGAAAGGGAAGTCACTTGAATTTACATTTCTCTGCCCATCCATCCATGAGGTTGGGAGAAATAAAATCAGTGAGCTGAAGGTAGACTAAACCTTATTCTCCTCTATCCTAGACCAATACTTTTAACATATTAAACTCCCTTACTTTTACTTATTGCCAAAACAGAGGTATCCAACCTTGGCACTTCTTTAAGATCTGTGAACTGCAATTCCAGAAGGCTGGCTGAAGTCCACAAGTCTTAAACATTGCCAAGATTGGACACCCAACACCATGGCCTAAAATACTGTATCCATTAATGGCATCACGAAAGCAACTACTGCCAACGAGTAGGATAGAATTTTGTTGGGAGTTTAAAATGAGTTTTCCCTGTTAGTTTGCAAAAGAGTCTACCTTCGAATTCAGAAGTAGTAAACTTTTCTTAAACGTTTTACGAACAAAAGGATAAAATGAACAGGTGGAAGATCTCAAACTTCTCGTGGGATAGAGAGATGCCGTACTTACTGAATTTAGCATGCTTCTAAGCATTCCCAGCAGTAAAAATGCCGCTTCTGTGCAAACACTGTGAATTGAAGCAACCACAGTGCCACTTGATGCGGGAACACCAAATATGAATGTCCAAATTGAATCCAAGTCAAACTTCAGCAGAGAAGGAGGAGAGAAAAAAAATACAAATTACATTATTCTGTGTTCATTTATAAGCAATCTGTAAATTATCGCCGTGCCAATCTTGCTGTTCAACCGCTTGGTAGTTCAGAGTTATTTGTATAAATCAACTAATGAGAGATGCTCCCTTAATGCACCAGAACTTGTACCAATTTCAATTAAGCACTTATCTTATTTATTATTATTATTATTAATCCTTATTATCCTCCTTACTCCCCACTTTTATTGGTATTATGATGGTTATGACTATTGTGTGGCTTTGCATGTATCCCAAGTGCTTTTGTACCCGAGTCAAANGTTTCAGGAGTGTGAAGATCTGTCCGTGAATCTCAGAGACTTTGTGCCAAGTTTTTCCTTTTGTACAGCACTGCGTTTGGACAATACTTACATGGCAGCTTTCCAAGCTAGATAAGGTCTGTGATCATAAATTCATCTTCGAAAGACTGTTTACCAGGCCTTTGCTGAATGTGAATGAGAGGAATTCACATTCATCTAATAAAAGCGGTTTTGTCGGGACAGGGAATCTGCTTTTTGGGGGAAGCCTAGGTCCGAACAGTAACCACTTTTGCATAGCAAATGGAAATTTTGTTCCAGGTTGTGCTCTTAAGTCAAGGACTAGCTGTATTATAATTTCTCCTAAACGTACATTAGAAAGTAGTCATGATTTACGTACTGCAATGCAAGTAGATACATTCTTGGAAGCCAGAGGCATCCTATGGCCAAGTAAATATGATACAGCGAAAAACCACCCCGTCACTGAGCCTAGAACAGCAGATGGTGCTAAGGAGGCCTACAAGCTGTCTATTGTCACAAAGACCACTGCTCTGTCCTTCCTCCTCCCATGCAGAGACATGAAGCACGGTAGAGTGACTTTAATTTGGCCTTTGGCCAAACGGGAAAATTTGATATCAGAAAAATCCTGCCTCTAGAAAACTACCTGCTGAGAATAGGATACAGACAGAAAGAGACTAAGCAGGAATCTACCCAAGCAAAATATTAAACAAAATTTATACGTGGTAATAAGCAGATTAAATTCCTAATTACGAGCTAAGAAGATGCTGGAAAGGACATAATGAAAGCAGCATAATTATCCACCCAGAGTGTTCAGCGGCTGTTGTCAATACGGTGCGCAAACTCCCACCCTCACCAACCTGTTGTGGCCCAGCAGGATCTGTTTGAGCTGCCGATGGACTCGGATAGCGAGGAACCCTATGAGTCTGCTATGGAAGATGTGGAGAGCAGGGACCAGAGAGGCTGGTTGGCCACCAGGAGGCGCCTGAGGCATGGAGCAATGGGGAGGACTCAAGGCAGTTTGTTCCTGACGCCAGGCAAAGGAGGGCGGAGAAACGGAAGCAGCAACAGCTGCGGAGGCAGACTCATGAGAGATAATCAAGCCCAGGTGGTTGTGGCTTGGCCGCTCCGAAGAGAGTATATAAGTGAGAAATTGGGAGGAGTCCTTTTGCAGGACACAACTGATCGTAACAGACTTGAGGAACTCTTGTCTGGACTGTTGTGTATTTCTGTTCTGTTTGGGTTGGGTTGCTGGCAACCCTTCTTGCATGAGAGTGTTGTCTGGGCTTTCAGCCAACGGAGTTGTAATTCCTGTGATTAAAGAGTGGCAAATAGCCAAGCCTGTGTCTGNTTTCTCAACCTGTCAATAAAACCAATGACAAAAGAAGCCCATTTTTTTAGTTTTACCCCTCAAACATTCATGTTGCGGATATATTTTGCTTTTCAAGATCATCTTTCTCATATAATGCTGGTAGTGGAGAAAGTTATATTGAATAAACTAGAGAATATCTATCCTAGCCTTACACCTACTTTAATCTGGAGGAGCACAGAAAAATTCTTTGCTTTAATGAGAGGAACGCTTCGACAATCGATTCACTAAGATGGGAGAACGTCTTTTAAGCACAGTTTTAAGCATCCCCAAGAACATTTGTCTTCCAGAAGATAAACTCCAAGAGGAATTCTGCTACGCTGCAAAACAGTTTCAAGAACTGGAGAATGAAATCAGCCAGCTCGAAAGAGAACTTAAAAGCTGAGATGTGTGCTGAGCAAGCCCTACAAAGAGAACTGGAAGAGCAAAAGATTGTCCCAGGGGCATCTTGAAGGAATTCTACAATGGTTTGATCAGAGGTGAAATCCAGCAGGTTCTGACAGGTTCTGGACAACCGGTAGCGGAAATTTTGAGTAGTTCGGAGAACCAGCAAATATCACCTCTGGCTGTTCCCCGAGTGGGGTGGGAATGGAGATTTTGCAGTATCCTTCCCTGCCATGCCCACCAAGGCATGCCCACCAAGCAACCCTACACCCTACAAAGCCACACCCACAAAGCCAGTAGTTAAAAAAAATTGAATTCCACCACTGGGTTTGATGGTCTTGATAATATAGGTAGAAACGAAGGGACTGGAAACCTTAAAGAAAACTTTGCTGCCTTGACAAAAACTGCTACTAAACTGCATAATATTGCATAGGAGGTGGACGACAAAATGAACACACTGAGAAAGTGATTGTAGTAATATAATAAACATATTTTAATAAAAAAAGAGATTTGCGTAGAGTTAAAAGTCAAAGCTAAGATCTGTTCTTGAAGGAGCTTCTACTCTTAGATTTGTATGTGCCTCGGGAGATGTCATGGTTGTTCCAAAGGTTTTTTTTTTTTTCCAGAACCGAAGGAAGCTTCTTTTTCAGTTCTTAAGAAGGAACTGAAGAAGCTTCCTGGATGAGAAGCGAAAGGTCTTCAAGCAAAACAAAGGAAGTGTAGTTTCCTTTTGAAAAAGCACCTTTGGTGATTAGCTTTGCAAAGGGCACATTATTCTACTTAAAATGCATTCTAGTGCCTTATGTCTCATCTCCCCCAGTTCAGAAGAATGACAAGGGCAGATATTGATTAAAAGACCCATTAATTTCACTTACCTCTTGATATTCTTTATACTGCATGTCTACCAGGTCTTTTACCACAGCAATGTGGGTAAACATCCACTGAGAAATCTCCTAATGGTAAGAATACAAATATTACTGTAGATTAGGGGTAGTCAACCTTTTTATACCTATTGCCCACTTTTGTATCTCTGTTAATAGTAACATTCTCTAACCGCCCACCGGTTCCATAGTAATGGTGACCGCGCGAGCGATCGTGGGTGCGCCTCGGTTCACCCACGTAACACCTATCCTCCGCGAGCTGCACTGGCTGCCTNATACTCTAATGCATGGACTTCACCAGCTGATGGTGGCTTGCCAAAATTTCACGTTTTTCCTCATATAAGACCTAGTGCTGAAATGGGGATTTTAGGCACCCATAACACTAAGTGGCTCAGTGGCTAAGACGCTGAGCTTGTCGATCAGAAAGGTCAGCAGTTCGGTGGTTCGAATCCCTAGCACCACGTAACGGAGTGAGCTCCTGTTATTTGTCCCAGCTTCTGCCAACCTAGCAGTTCGAAAGCATGTGAAAAATGCAAGTAGAAAAATAGGAACCACCTTTGGTGGGAAGGTAACAGCGTTCCGTGCACCTTTGGTGTTTAGTCATGCTGGCCACATGACCACGGAGATGTCTTCAGACAGCGCTGTGGCTTGTTGGCTTTGAAATGGAGATGAGCGCCATCCCCTAGAGTCGGGAATGATTAGCACATATGTGCAAGGCAAACCTTTACCTTTACTTTTAACACTAAGTAAGTTTCAAAAATCAGAAATCATCTTTGCATGATACAGATCAAATATGTTAAAATTTATATTTTGGTGTCACTCCTGCAATCTACCCTAATCAGCCCCACATATGCAGATCTCAACTGAACCATTCTGCTATAATTTTAACATATTTCATCTGTATGTTAAATTATTGTATTTTATTCCAATTTCATTTCAAATTGTATTTTGTCCAATTCCATTTTAAATTGCTTTGATCAAATTTCAGTAATAATTTGTTTCTGGAACTCTGCACTTTGATATGGCCCAAGGGCTAATCAATAAATAAAGATCCAACATCTTTGCAGGAATAATCAGCTGGTACTTGCAGCAGAGAGGGCTCTCAGTAATTTCCCTGCTGATGAATATTTCTATTCAATTCTATTTATGTTTGCTAATTAAATACTCAAATCAATTTCCAGACCATAAAGCAGTGTTTCTCAACCTTGGCAACTTGAAGATGTCTGGACTTCAACTCCCAGAATTCCCCGGCTGGGGAATTCTGGGAGTTGAAGTCCAGACATCTTCAAGTTGCCAAGGTTGAGAAACACTGCCATAAAGGTTTGACCATAAATTAAAGGTTTTGGGATTGTTGTTGTTGTTGTTGTTTTTAAAGGAGGGGATTCTTTTGTTTCCTACCATTTCTGAATATGGCCGGATGTTGAAAGGGAACACGGTAGCTGCCAGCGCACAAAGAAAATCTGGGCTCATCCACATCGTAGCTAAATCTGGAACATTATGATACAGGTATCGAAAGAACTGCATCAAGGTGACGGGATATTCGCGAAGCCAAGAACCTTCTTCCTCTGACTGCCAAGGCTGCAGGGCAAGGAAAGATCAGAAACTTTATTCAATTGAAAGATAAAATCAGGTGAGAACTGCATTAGCCAAGAGGCAATGTTCTGACTAGAGTTGCATCTCTAATAGTAAAATGTATTGAGGAATTAACCCTATGTATTATTAACTATAACATTGGATGGGAGAAAGAGGGAGGGAGAGGAAGGGAAGGAGAGGGGGGGATGTTAATATGTGACATCACCTGTTTTATTAACTGTGGTGCACAATATAAAGAAAATTAGCTTGGACCAAGGCCATCCGGTAACTTCATATTTACTCATGTGTAGAAGCCAGCAATATACTGTGTTTCCCTGAAAATAAGACAGGGTCTTATTTTCTTTTGACAATCCCCCCCCCGAAATAAGCACTTGGCCTTATTTTTGGGGAGGTCTTATTATTTTTGAGGTGCAGGAGGCGGTGAGAATGGTCACTTCATGGCTGCTGCTGTGTTGCAATATTTTTGGGGACGGCTCATTATGGGGGGAGGGCTTATTTTAGCACATGCACTCAAAAGCCCGACTGGGCTTATTATCCGGGGAGGTCTTATTTTCGGGTAGTTTTCACTAAGTATGCTTGAATGGATAACTTTTTTTTAATTTTAGATTTTCATCCTGTGTTTATTTTTTTTTAAAAAAAAACAATTCAAGGTAGAGAACATACATAATGCTCCTTCTTCCTCCTATTTTTCCCACAGCAATAACCCTGAAAATTGAGTTGGGCTGAGAGAGAGACAGGAGAGTAACTGGCCCAAAGTCACCCAGCTGGTCTTATAAGCCTACGGCAGGACCAAAACCCGGTCTCCTGGTTTCTAGGCCAGCACCTTAACCACTGCAGCAAACCAGTGTAACTGGTTTCTTGTTAGCATTATTTATTTCATAAGGAAGGAGTATCTTTTCCTTAATGTATGCCACTTCTCTAAAAGCACAAGTCTGCTTCTACTTGGCAACAAGACTTCAATAATACCCAGCAAAACCGAAGAGCTACTAGGCGTCAGGAACAGTTGCACAGTTACAGGAGGTAATTGCAGTCAGCTGGTGGTCATTAGGCTCCTCTCCAGACTATAAAAAGACTGCTTGTGCACACACCCCTCTTGCAGAAGTCAACACAGGAAAGAATGTCGGAGAACATTATTGTGAGCTTGGTAGGCTGGANCCTATGAAGCGGTATATAAGTCTAACTGCTATTGCTATTGCTAAGCCCAATCGGGTTTTTGAGCACATGTGCTAAAATAAGCCCTCCCTGAGAATATTGCAACACAGCAGCAGCCATGAGGTGACCAAGCAATTATTTCGGGGGTGGGGGGGGGGAAAGGAAATTAAGACCCTGTCTTATTTTCGAGGAAACACAGTATCTAATTTCCAGTTTCCGTTCCAGAATTAAAGTTCATTTCTACAAGGAATTGGCTACTCTACTTTGCCTTCCTAAATATTAGAAATATGAGCTATGATTTATAAAATACACCTATAAAAAAGAAACTTAATGTTAATCATCTTGATAATTACACATTTATTTATTTTATTTATTTATTAAATCAACCAAAAGTGCAAAGCATACACTCTGGGACACTTACCTTCCTGCATAAAGATTAATCAAGCAATGAGCCAGACAGCTGATGAATTCTTGGTCGTGATTTGCGGGACCTAAGATCAGGCTTCGGTTCACAGTAAGCATCCTTAGAGAGTCGAGAAGAGCGACTTGCTGGGGCACCGTTTTGTGCGGTCGTGAGAATTGGTACAAGATGGTCCTGTTCAGGCAGTGATAAATGGCATCCAGGGATAGTCCCTGAGATCTTCTTTTTGACTTTAAAAAAAAAACAACAACACACAAATAAACATCTTGAAAGAGAGAAACCGTAACAGTACTACACATTTTTATTTCTGTGGTTTTTAAGCAGGTTCTCAGCAATTATTTCCTCTGCTATAAATGAGAAGGTTCCATTATCTTGGAAATTATCCTAAATTGTTGCTAACACTGCCTCTTGTTATTAAAAGTATTCATCAAATAGCCTTGGCAAAATCCAATTTTCACTGTTTCCTGTGAAAGAAAAAAATAAATCCAAATAGGATGAAGCTTTTGATAGATCTGCAGCACTCACTTTTCCCCTTCAGCACATCTACTGAACAAAGCCACAACTGTTTGGAAGCTTTACAGGTTGGAAAATAGTTGCCCCTATCGTTCTAAAGTGATTGCCAGATACAAGATCTGACTTCAACAACAGAAGCTGTTGTTTGTGCCAATACAACTGAGGAAGGAGGAGAAAACTGGTTTAAGAGGAGGTCATCTCTAACTTGTGAACAAGCATATAGCCCACTTTAACTTTGATTCAAGTATGAGAAAAGGAAAGCATAAAGGTTTCTCTTCAAAACCCATAAATCTTTCCATCTTTACTACATGTTTCTATGGAAAGAAATATTTACAGGAAAACAAGTACAGGAAGTATTATCTGTCTAGGTAACCAATGAAATTGTTATTTGAACACAAAATCATGTGAGCATACCTGTGCAATTAATTGGAGTGTGAAATCTATAAGCAACTTCGATTCCTTGTTGAACATCCCTTGCCAAAGTTTATCTACCACGCGCTGCGTGAAATAGAATACATTGTTGACAAGCACCTGGTAGCTTCCTCCACTGGTGATTGGCAAAGATGCATCCTCACCTACAAAAGCAGAAGAATTTCATTCCAAAAATGAATACCTACAAAAAAATAACGATACCCCATTCCACCCTCCCACGGATGCCCTAATTAAATCATGAGCCTCGAGCCAAGCTTCAAAAGAAATCCAGTTATTTATTAGGAGCAACATGTCGGCAGGTACCCAACTGAAGTCAACTCTGAACCCATGTAATTTACAGCCCAATTATGACCCTGTTTCCCCCCTCCCCCCAGGGTATGTCATAAATCACATTCTCCAACCAGAGCACCTTCGCGGGCTATAAAGAACACACCCCTCTGGCTGTTGCAGATAACCTGGGAGACAGCTTGGGGAAAGATATGCGTGAAATGTGCTTCTGGTTGTGGCTGCCATGTTGCTCCATCAGTTCCCCCCACACACACACTTATGGCAACTCGAGAGCAGGCTAAGGATGTTTCGCAAGTTGACACAGAGCATATAAGGATATTCCATAACACTAACATTAATACCAGAAAAGAATTTCTCCACAGAAGTACAATTACACACTAAACAGTATCATTATGCAGTATCGGAATTCTTAAGCTTGCAGAGCAACTTTAATGGATCGTTCTCAACTAGAGTAATTCATAATTTTTAAATTGATGAGTAGGAACGACATTTTGTATTTACAGCAATTCATCTGTTATGTTCTTTTAAGGATTTGAAGGAGGTTCGTTAGGGATAAAAGCATGTAAGCAAATGTTTACCCAATAAAACATCAGCAGCAAGCAAGTGGTCCATAACACTATCCAATATATAAGTCTGAAATTCTTTTTGTTGGGCCCTCGTCGATCTTTCCGGAGAGGCCTAGAAAGGCAGAATAAGGATAATGAGATGTCATCAGAGGAAGCTGTTCTGAAATGTTACTATGAACTGTGGCAAATTTAAGATGCATTAAACATTGTGCGATCTGGCACCTGGTGCAAATAAAACTTTCCATCAACTTCTTCATGAAGAAGATGGCTCTGCAGACACCTCCAGAGTTCAGTTTTATAATAAATGAATTCGAAGAAACAGGTTTGGATAATTAGAGCTTTACATTCCTGGAGCTACAGTAAACGTGTAACCTTTTATATAGCAATAGCAATAGCAGTTAGGCTTATATACCGCTTCATAGGGCTTTCAGCCCTCTCTAAGCAGTTTACAGAGTCAGCATATTGCCCCCAACANCTTTGCTGGATGTGAATGAGCAGAATTCGCAGTAAATTAATAAAAGGGTTTTTTGGCGGGACAAGGAGTTTGTTTCATGCTCTTGGGAAGCCTAGATCAGAACACCATGAGATTTAGACTATCATTCTAAGGCAGGGGTGGGGAACTATGGCCCTTTTATGACTTATGGACTTCAACATCCAGAATTTCTGAGCCAGCTAAAGCAAGAATAAAGAGAATGGCTCCTCAGATGGCAGCAGACTCCAATTCTCAGATGAAGTCCAAAAATATGTGAAGGATTATAAATTGCCAGTCCTGGATATCATCAGAATACAATGTAGGAAACAAACAATTTATTAAGTGATGTTAAAACACAGAACAAGTTGCTCAACGAGTAGGAGACAATAGTTTAGTATAATTTTGAACTTGTTTTGCCTTTTAATTCTGTAATTTACCTGTGTTGATAGATTATGTTTACTAAGTCCACTTTCTTTTCTGTTTCTTCTTGATCCGGTTAGCTTGGATAGGCCAAAACCACTGCTGACCCGAGATAACTTTGATTGAGTTGCTGGAATCAAAGCTTCTCCTCTACTGATGCATTTCTTTTCATGAGCTGGAAAATAAAAGAGTTGATCAAAATGCAATAATTGTACTTTACAACTCCCCATATACCATTAAAAGTAAAGGTTCCCCTTGCACATATGTGCTGGTTGTTCCCGACTCTAGGGGCAGTGCTCATCTTTGTTTCAAAGCCGAAGAGCCAGCGCTGTCCAAAGACGTTTCTGTGCTCATGTGGCCGGCATGACTAAATGCCGAAGGCGCACGGAATGCTGTTTGGTCCCTATTTTTCTACTTGAATTTTTAAGTGCTTTCAAACTGCTAGTTGGCAGAAGCTGGGACAATGGGAGCTCACTCTATTACGTGGCGCTAGGGATTCGAACCGCCGAACTGCTGACCTTCTGATCGACAAGCTCAGCAACTTAGCCACTGAGTCACCACGTCCCTTTACATACACTGTTACCATCTAATATAATCCAGACTGCCATCTTGTTCTACAAAGTATTAGGACTTTGCAAAGCTTCCAAGGAAGTTTTGTTTCAACAACAGTTCAGAGATCCACTTGCTTATAAGACTCAAATTAAGTTTTGGTTGGATTCAGAGTCCCTCGCTGCCCACTTCTACAGAGATCACATTATAGGAATCTTCCTTAGCAGAGTTGGTTAAGGGATCTCCTGGACTGGATGGCTCTAGCACAGGCTGGAAGAAAACCTGTAATGTCCCATCGGATATTTCATCCATGTTCTCAAAATGTTACATCAGCAGGTGTGGGGAATGGTGAGTTGGGGACCCCTTAGTACGGTATGAGTGTCTTTGAATTGAAAAATGCTGAACCCAAAGCACTCAAGTTCAAAGCCATTGTTTCAAAAATCTAAATGGGACATCCAAGAAATAAGAATCGATGGAGACTTAAGAGAGGAATGGGGAAGACAAGTTAAAAAAAGGAAAGCATAGCAATTGAAGTATTGAAGCGAGCAAGAGACGATGGGTAGAGGATTTCTTTTTCTCTATGACTGCTTTGACCTGCTCCACCCCACCCCCACTTTTTTAAAGCATAGCAATTAAAGTATGAAGCGGGCAAGAGAGGATGGAAGGATGATTCCTGCTGATGGTTGCTGTTTTGAATTATCTCTCCCTATCTCTCCCTCTATATTCTCTTTATCACTTTTTTCCTCTCCTTTTAGGCAGATGATAGGATTAGAAGTCAGACAGGAAAGAAAGAAAAAGCTTTTTAATATAGGGTGATGTGATTAAAAGCTGGAGTAAGCGGTAGAAATAAAGGAAATATTAGTGTATTACATTTTTAGTTGATAAAATGGAAGTAATAATGAGAAATAGGGGGAATAATTGAATAATAATAGATTGTAACTTAATACAGATGTGTATCGTAATGGGAATTTCATAAGTTGATTGAATAATAATAATTCTCAATTTGATTAGTTTTTGTTTGCGTTGGAATGTATGGCGTCCAGATGCCACACTGTTCACGCAATGATTTGATATTTTAATAATTTTTTTTAAAAAAAATGAGAAAAAAAAATCTAAATGGACTATTCTGAATATTCTAGAGGCATTTCAAATATAAAATGTTTTGAACATCATTTCACGGAATACATTATCATATTTTTTGGAGTATAAGATGCACCTTCCCCCCCCCCCCCAAAAAGGGTGAAAATCTGGGTGCGTTTCATACACTGAATACAGCATTTTTGTTCTAACTAAACCCTGCCCCCTTTGCAAAAATGGAAGTGCAGAGGGTTTGGGAGGCCTGCAAAGTGCTCCTGGGGACTAGGGAGGGCAAAAATGAGCAAAAAANGCAGTGGTTAGAATGCAGTACTGCAGGCTACTTCTGCTGACTGCCGGCGGCCTGCAATTTGGCAGTTCAAATCTCACCAAGCTCAAGATTGACTCAGCCTTCTATCCTTCACAGGTGGGTAAAAGGGGGACCCAGATTATTGGGGGCAATAAGATGACTCTGTAAACCACTTAGAGAGGGCTGTAAAGCACTGTGAAGCATTATATAAGTCTAAGTGCTATTGCTTCTTAAGGTGCAAATCATTGCAAAACTCTCACAATTATTCTGATATGCCAGTGGTTCTCAATCTTTTCTTCATCACGGATCCCCTTTAAATACTTTCTGTGGCCACGGACCCCAAAACTTAAGTTTTAAATCATAACAATTCTTCAAGTCTTCGCAGACTTCAACATCGCAGCTCCCAAGGAGTCCGTGGACCACAGGTTAAGAATTACTGTGATAGCAATAGCAATTACACTTAGATACCACTTCACAGTCCTTTACAGCCCTCTCTAAGTGGTTTCCAATGTCAGCTTATTGCCCCCAACAATCTGAATCCTCATTTTACCGACCTCAGAAGGATGAAAGGCTGAGTCAACCTTGAGCCAATGAGACTCGAACTGCCAATCTGCCGAACTGCTGGATTCTAACCACTGCATTCTAATCAACGGAATGTTGAAAATATCCAGTGTAACTTTTCTTTTTGCTTTAAGAAACAATGATAAAGTACTAAATTTACCTCCAGGAGGAGATCTATTAGAGGAGTTTGCTTGCTTGCAGGTGTAAGGCAGAGGTTATCTATGATCAGCACACGCATAAAGTCAAACACAAACTTCTTAGCAGGGTGGTTGGTTAAAAAAGTCTTAGACCCAACATTGCAATATTCCGATTGGCTCCGATTCATCCCTGTATCAGAGGCAAAGGCTTTGAACTCTTCGGCCGGAGATCCGGCGTCGTCATCTAAATCAGTAACCTGTTTTTGAAAAAGAAATCAGTCATCAGTTTTGGACAACAGAGTGCGATGGATTGCAGTTATTTATTTTAGCATCTCACTATGGACAGATGTACAAAGGGACACGGTGGCTCAGTGGCTAAGGCGCTGAGCTTGTCAACCAGAAAGGTCAGCAGTTCGGTGGTTCGAATCCCTAGCGCCGTGTAACGGAGTGAGCTCCTGTTACTTGTCCCAGCTTCTGCCAATCTAGCAGTTTGAAAGCACGTAAAAATGCAAGTAGAAAAATAGGAACCACCTTTGGTGGGAAGGTAACAACGTTCTGTGCGGCTTCGGCGTTTAGTCATGCCAGCCATATGACCACGAAGACGTCTTCAGACAGTGCTTGCTCTTCGGCTTTGAAACGGAGATGAGCACCGTCCCCTAGAGTCAAGAATGACTAGCACATATGTGCGAGGGGAACCTTTACTATTACCTTATGTACAGATAGTCCTTGACTTACAACCATTTGTTTAGTTATTGTTTGAAGTTATAACGCCACTGAAAAAAAGATATTTGTGACCATTTTTTTCACACTTATGACCCCCCCTCCCCCATGGTCTCACGATCAAAATTCAGATTCTCATGTTTATGAAGGCTGCAGAGTCCTGGAGTCCTGCGATCATCTTTTCTGACCTTCTGACAAGCAAAGTCAATGGGGAAATCAGATTCACGTAACAACTGTGTTCCTGACTTAACAACTGCAACTGTGACGAGAAAAGTCGTAAAATGGGGCAAAATTCACTTAACAACTGTCTTGCTTAGCAATAGACATTTTGGGAGAGGACTACCTATGCAGGTAGCGTAACTGACAGCCGTTTAGGAATGTCAAGAGTGGAACTCACTGAAATAAATGTGTCTCTTAGCAAATAAACAGCCTCTCCCAAAGGAAATGTTGGATTCAGTTGTGGTTGTAAGTTAAGGACCATCTGCAACAGCACCTAACCAATCTAGGTGGATCTTGGACGTTAAACAGAAACGACCTTGCAAAAATACTTGAATGGTGGACGTTGTTGGGAAGTTGAAAAAAATGGGCACAATTCTCTTAATAACTGTTATGACCTGCCAGTGGCCAGCAGAGCTAGCAGCAGAGTCAGAAAGTGAGGAGGTTGGGGAGGAACATGGGCCAGTCCTGGAGGCTGGAGAAAGCTCAAATGAGGGCGCTGCGTTGGAGGCAGAGAGGGGGCCAAGGCCGTCTGGCAGTTCTCAGATGCCTTCGGAGCTAGACAGTAGTGAGGCAGAGGAACAGCTGGAGCCTGTTCCCAGTGTGTGCATGCGCAGAGCTGCCAGAAGAAAAGAACAGCTCAGAAATCAGGGTCTACTTGGGAATAAAGCCACAGGTGGAAGGTGATAGCAATAGCAATAGCAATAGCAA